CTTGAACTGAGTTTCATTTGCAAGATCATGATACACTACAGTGTAACCCGGATATAAGAGAGTTGTCGGGACCGGAGAAGTCTCTTATATCCAGGTTTCTCTTATATCCGGGTTTGGTCTATTTTATATACATTAACACAGGCTCTAATTTGGGACCAGAGAAAATCTCTCTTATAACCGGGTTTCTCTTATATCCGGGTCTCTTATATCCGAGTTACACTGTATATTTCAATACTTGATACACTCACTTGATTTCTGCATTAAGCAAATTAATTGTTTTAATTTTTTTTTCACGTAAATTAAAAGTTACGAGTATAATACCACCCAAAAATGTGATTTACAGACATTAGCATTTCTGCCTAGGATCAGAATATCATTCCCATGCAAGTCTGTTTCGGATCAGTGCAGTATCTGTGTGATTGATGAAATGTGTTACACACAGACACATACACCAAATATATTTGAACATTGTATATTTGGGCAGCAAGTAGCAATCCTTCTTCTTCGCAATCCCAAATATCCAATATTCAAATTACATGACCCGGCAGCCAACAAGGGTGGAGGGACTCAAAATCTTTGTCTTATGTGCGTGTGTGTGTCTGTGTGTCTGTGTGTCTGTGTGTGTGTTTCACAAAGAAAAAAAGGTTATTTGAGAAAGATATCGTTTTTTAAGGCAAGTAGTTTTGTAATTAAACTGTTCAATATTAACGGATTATTAACAAATAAAATTAAATGTTAATTTATCTAAGTTATTTGTTCCTACACACACACACACACACACATACATATATGTGTGTGTGTGTGAACATAAGGATCAACACTGGACAGTGACTATCTTTTCTCTCTCCACACACACACACACACACACACACACACACACACACACACACACAGAGAAATGAATTAGTAAATGGATTGGGCCAAGAATTAAAAATTAAAATATATTGAATTTTCAGTTTGACCCGTTTACTAAAATTTGATCCAATCATTAAACACTATAATGTTTTTCTGGGTCAGGCTATGTACTTTTCAGCACCCCTGGGTGCCCTGGGGGCGGGGGTACACTATTTATATATGTGAATTTGGATTATGTACTAGTTGTATAATTTTGTGTTTCATCTGTAACTAGCAGGTAGTTGTTTTTATGAATAAATGTTTCTTTCTGAAACTTTATTAAAACATTCATAAAACATTTTCTTTATTAAAACATTCATAAAATATTATCTTCAAGAAAATGTAATATAAAAAGAAAAAGGAAAAAAGCCTATAATAAAATAAAATAAAAAAAACTGCAACAAAGTATTTTTATTTTCCAGTAAACAGAAATGTTTGAAATTATAAAAATTATGAGATGAATTATCAGAAACCATTAATCATTGATCTACAAGATTTTATTCTTTTATCAAATAGCATTCATGATGCATATGCACAATGATGCACACACACATACACACACATGTGTGTGTGTGTGTGTGTGCGTGCGTGTGTGTATAAATATGTATATATAGGAACAAATAGCTAAGATAAATTAACATTCAATTTTATTTGTTAATCAGCTATCTCTTAATATTGAGAACTTTAATTACAAAACCACTTGCTTTAAAAAATGATATCTTCCTCAAATAACCTTTTTTTGTGAAACACACACACACACACACACACACACACACACACACACACACACACACACACACACACACACACACACACAAAATTTTGATTCTCAGAAAAATCCAAGAAAAGTCATAAAGTACGATTTGTTTGAATAGAGAAAAATGTTAGAACATAACCTTGGTCTCTGGCTAGAAGAAAATGCCATAGAGAAAATAAATAATATTTTTATGCATAATATATAATAATTTTATCAAAAATATATAATAAAAATATATAATATATATATAAAATTATATAAGGATTTATGTAAAATATATAATAATTTTATCTGAAATATATGATAAAAATATATGATGTATATAAAATTATTTAATATGTAAAATATAATTTAATTAAAAATATAATAATATAAAAAATATATAAGTTATGCAAAATAAATAATAATGTTATCAAAAATATGTATAAAATATATAACATTATATAATTATGTAAAATATATAATAATTTTTATTAAGAAATAAAATAAGTAATATTTTACTTGATATATCTTAATAAAATAAGTCATATTTAATCGAAAAATAATTTAAAATTTTAATTTTTGAATTACTATTTTAATAAACTAGTTTATTTGATTATTACTTTACTTTTAAATTAAATTAGCCTTACCATAAACATTTACTTTATTAAAATATTTTTTCCTTATTATAAATTAAATATGATTTTAATTTTATTAAAATTTAGTAAATAAATTAAAAATCATTTATCTTATTAAAAATATTAGCTATTATACTGAAAATATCACTTATTTTCTCTATATTTTTCTCCAACCGTAAGTTGAAGCTATCACGTTTTCCTACCCTAACACAGTACACCTTATGATGTTTTTCTAACATTTTTCATTTTTCAACTCAAATTTTAAGGAGAAATCAAGCATGATGTAAAAATACCAAAAAATAATGTTTTAGATACACAGTGGTACATCAATAAGTCTGAAGCCAAACGAGGAAAAAAAAGCATTTCTTTTAAACAACAAATATGTATTTTTCAACATAATCTCCTCCTTGGTGCGTTTTAACCAAACTCTTCTCCTCTAATTACTCTTCAGTGTCTAATGAGCAGTGGTAGTGGTGATGGTGGTGGAGAGTGGGGGGCGGTCGTTTAATTTTTCTTATAGGAAATCTCCTGACTGAGGAGATTACTAAGACTCCTCTGTTTATTAATTTTACCCTTTTTGATCCTTAAAAGGAATTTTGAATCCACCTTTTATCAAGACCCCTATTTATTGTAGACTGAGAAAAATTCCACTCCCACAATTGTATTAGGCACAAAGAATACATAGATTGAACATTTCAGATCAAAATGCAGATGTCAGGCTACAAAACATGATCTCTTTACATAAACATAAAGTAATATACACAAACACAGATATGTATGCATGCATGCATGTACTTGTGCATGCATGTATGTATGTATGTATCAATACAAGTATATATATATATATATATATATATATATATTGATATAGAAATATATTCATATATACAAGCATTCTGCTAACCTGAAAAAGGTAAAATTCTTGTAATTTTCACATATTTTCTCCATTGTATTATTATTATGATGATGATATAGAAATATATAGATAAAGATATGGACATTGTGTACATAGGAGTCAATACTGAGGGGTGAAACTGATATAGTAAGATAGATAAGATAGAGTTTTCTCATTATTATCTATCTATCTATCTATCTATCTATCTATCTATCTATCTATCTATCTATCTATCTCAGTTTGTTCATTATCTATCTATCTATCTATCTATCTATCTATCTATCTATCTATCTATCTATCTATCTCAATTTGTTCATTATCTATCTATCTATCTATCTCAATTTGTTCATTATCTATCTATCTGTCTATTTCAGTCTTTTCCTGTTGCTAAGAAAGTAATGTCTTCTATTTTATTATGTTGATCCTTGAAATTAGAGGTAGATGTTGGTGATTAGCAGATGAAGTTGAACATTCCTGCCAATAACCCATATTTTTTTCCTTGTTACAAAGAGCAGCTGAACTGTGGTTTAGCATGTAATTGTGGGCAAAGCAGAAGTGTATCACTGAATTCTTCCATGCAAAAAAAAAAAAAAAATTCATCCATTAACATTCATAGACACTTGCTTAACTTTTATGCAGATCAAACAATGGATGTGAGCACAGTTAGGTAGTTGGTACTATATTCAAGTATTGTGCAATGTGTGTGATAAGCTATGTTCTGAGCAAATATGCATAGATGTCAACAGTCTGTTTATATCTATTCATTCACACGTGTGTGTGTGCAAATTTAATATTTATATTTCACACTCTCCACCCTGGTTTTTTGAACAAGAGTAGAGGTTTATACCTTGTTTCCTGTTTAGGATTGGGTTTCCAGTTCCTTCTAAAGTCTACTTAAACTCTCTACTTCTAACATCTCTGCTTAAACTCTGAAATTTTATTTACAATTTTTTTTTTCTTCAATAGGAGCAGATAAGTTTGCCTATCATCTGGTTCACACTTCTCCCTGGCCTTTTGAACAGGAGTAGATTGTTTTGCTTTTTACAACTTATAAACTTTTTTAAGGTTATTTAAAATTGAAACATATTTTTCAATTATAAGAATTGTTTTTTTTTTTTTTGTCTTTGGTTTGTTGTCGTTGATTGTTTTTGTTTAGCAGCATATCAACATCTCTATGGGTTATTTAATGTTGAAATCTAAATATTTTTTTGTATGCAATTTTATTTTATTTTTTAGATAATAATTGTTTTAGTGATACCAGTTTTATTAATTAACCCATAGCTGGGGAGAGAACAGAAAGATTCATACCTTTCTTAAGGTTATTTGTGCGTAACTCAATATAATAAACCCAACTGGAATTGAAACTTGGCTCTCTGATTAACATTTCCATGCCATTGTTCATTACACCACCCATGCATCCAAGTTTACTGTACTTGGTATTTCCAAGCAGTCACCCATCTAGATACTAGCCAGCCTCAACATTGCTTAGCTTTGGTGATTGCACAGGAATCAGTGTTTCAACATGTTAGGTTTCCTGTTCCTTCTAAAGACTTCTCATTCTCTTTCACTCCTAGTAGCCCCTTGCATCTTAGTGGCATTATCACCTTGCTTGGGGTGAACTGATTTAAAAAAAGAAGTGTGCATGTAAAATATAAAATGCAGAATCTTTTAATGAAGTACTTTTGACCAAATGACATTAAAAATAATGGGAATAAACTGTTAAAATATTTTAGAGATTACTTTTTTATTTAATTTGACTCAGGCCAAAGAATGAATTAAAAGAAAAAAATGAATGAAAACATGAAAAAAAATTGACTTTTAAATTAAATGAATAAATTTAAAAAGAATGGATGAAAAGATGAAAAAGAATGAATGAAAAGATGAAAAAGAATGAATGAAAAGATGAAAAAGAATGAATGAAAAGATGAAAAAGAATAAATAAAAGAGATGAAAAAGAATGAATGAAAAGATGAAAAAGAATAAAAAGATGAAAAAGAATAAATGAAAAAGAGCAAATGAAAAGATGGAAAAAGAATAAATGAAAAAGATGAAAAACAATGAAAAGATGAAACAGAATAAATAAAAGAGATGAAAAAGAATGAATGAAAAGATGAAAAAGAATAAAAAGATGAAAAAGAATAAATGAAAAAAATGAAAAAGAATGAATGAAAAGATGGAAAAAGAATAAATGAAAAGATGAAAATAATGAAAAGATGAAAAAGAATGAATGAAAAGATGAAAAAGAATAATTGAAAAGATGAAAAAGCAAAAATGAAAAGATGAAAAAAGTATGAATGAAAAGATGAAAAAGAATGAAAAATGAAAAAGAATAAATGAAAAGATAAAAAAGGATAAAAGATAAAGAAAAGAATAAAATATGAAAAGAAGATGAATGAGAAGATGAAAATATTGAATGGATGAAAAAAATGAATAAAAGAAAATATGAAAAATGTAAAAAAAGAATCACTGAAAGAAATGAAAATAGAATAAATCTCTTGATTATTTTTTAAAGCAGTTTTCCCACATTAAAAAAAAAATATTTATTCATCTTTTTATTCCACTGACTTTTTTTGGTGTTCAACAGAAAAGTCATCCCCAGAAGGGAGTTAATTTTTTTGTCAATCAGATTTCTCATATCAGTATTAAAATAAGTTTCAGGTTAAAACAGTTTGCACGCAAAGCCTCTTTCTGAAAAGGCGGGAGGCTAAACTAAAGATTACAATATTGTGTAAAAGCAACTATAGCAGTAGCAGCAACAGCAGCAGATGATGATGACAGGAATAAATTGGGTTGGTGCTGGTGAGAGTGGCTGGGAGTTTGATGATGTGGTATACGATTCTGAATCAATAGAGAGAGTAAGATAAAAACAAATCATCCTTTCAGCTTAGTGGTTGTCATCTCTTTACAAGCAGTGAATTTTAAAATTGAATGTGCTTATGTATAAAGTTATCTACCTTTCTAAAGAGGCATCAGTTGAGGACGGATGTGAAAAGAGTGGGGGGAGCAAATCTTTTTTTTTTTTTTAATACAAGTGTCTAAAACAAAATACTGATAATTAACAAAATAAATTTACAGAAACATTTAATTTTTAGCAAATTAAATTATGAAGAAAAAGGCCAACATCATACAAAATTTTAACAAGCATAACATTTACAGTCACTGCCTGATTACAATTTTAATTAGTTAAGTTATTTAATTAACTTATTTAATTTCTATACACTGATAATTAATACTTATTTAATTATCAAATTATTAAAATTTGAAAATTAAATTATTACATTAAATGCAAATTATTTAAAGACTTATATAAATTATTTAATGATTTCAATGATCAAGTGAATTATGATTTTGTAGATAATTGAAATTAGCAGAAATATTGGATTATATTAAATATTAATTACAAGTTAATTGAAAAAAACAATAAGTATAAAGATATTGGTTTGAATAATGTGTCTGGTAACATCTAAAAATCACTGGATGCATCTATGCTGAGCAGACCTTAGTAATAGTTTATGGGAGAAAGCACATAATATGTTACAATCAAGTTTTTCTATTTTTTTTTTTTTTTAAAAGGTCAGTACACTCAAACCCTCAGTCACAATAACTTGTGACTTTGTGCTTTGCACAACTGGCAACAGCTTCTGAACATTTTTGCTCACTCAACTTCACTAACAACTTCTTGGTCCAACCTGTGGTAATATTTTTGTTGTAAATTCTCAAGAACAACAAAAAAAAGTTGTATAAATTTGCTTTTGTCATACGTTTAGTTTTTATTACAATTCTAATCATCACTTTTTAAAACAATAAACTTTGCCGAAATGTGAAGGTAGCTAAAATAAAAGCAGTGCAAAGAAAAAAAAAAAACTTCCTTTTGACATCTTGTTTTGTTTTTTTGTTTTTTTTTGCAGGCACAAAGGTTCATGTTTGCCTGCGTTTTTTCATTATCAATAGCAGCTGTGCTGCAGTCTGGCAAAATGATATCTGACATGAAAGTCTTTACAAAACAGTGGTGTATCATTGAATTCCTTAATTATATATCAAATAATTCAGGGAGTTGAACATCTCTGACTAGCATAGTTCACTACCTCTTGAAATACGGGTAGACAGTACTTGTTAGTCTTGGCTGGCACTCTGTCTATGAGAAAAATCATTCTGATTTCAAAACCAGGGGCTCTTTAGTCACCTTGATGACAACACTTTATGTGGCCAATGACTTCATGTCTGAGATGATGATGGACGAGCTCAGTAGCCAGCTTCCAAATAATGGTTATTAGAGGATTCTGGACCCACTTATGCCATCTTTTTTTTCTTGATGAGAATTATGGACAAAATGGATG